CTCTGTCTCTCATTCTCTCTCTCTCTCAAATAAATAAATAAAATCTTTAAAAAATAAAAAAAAGAAACTCCCAATTTCTGTACCTCCTCTAAATCGTATCTATTCTGAGTGCTCCCAATAGCAGGCCCCACCCAGATTTACTGAATTAGAATCTGTAGTCTAACTATACCCTTAGGTAATTCACTTTGAGACTTTGAAACTCAAGGCACACCAAGAAAGGAGCTGTACCCGTAAGCTGTTTTGAGCTAGTCTAGGGACAGGCTGTCCCCCATAAATGAAGGGGCATTAGAGCAGGCAGACAGGCTGGTGGGAAGGCAGGCGGGTAGGATGAGGGTGGGCTGAGGAAATCTGGTACTTTCCAGATCCTTCTAGGTCAGTCTCTCACAATGTGTTTCTGATTTGAAGTGGCCTTACTTCCCAGAATTGTAGACTCACCCCTACTGAAAGGCAAAGTACCAAAGTGCATTCCAGGGGCAAATACTTTCACTTCCACTGAGAGGATACGGGCCAACTTACTTCCCTTAATTTTTATCTACTAACACTAAAGCATAAGAAAAAAATTCTCTTTCGGTTTCAGGGCATTTTAAAAACTGGAACCCAGGGTGCCTGGGTGGCTCAGTTGGTTAAGCGACTGCCTTCAGCTCAGGTCATGATCCTGGAGTCCTGGGATCGAGTCCCGCATCGAGCTCCCTGCTCAGCGGGGAGTCCGCTTCTCCCTCTGACCCTCCCCCCTCTCATGCTCTCTGTCTCTCATTCTCTCTGTCTCAAGTAAATAAATAAAATCTTTAAAAAAAAAAAATCATTTTATACAGACCTCAGATTAATCATCGGAGGGAGAAATATTTATTAGCCCTAACTGAAGAGAAGACTGAAGTGTGTAAGCAATTCAGTAACTTATCTAAGGTCAAACATTTCATAAATGCAAGACCGGGATTCAAATCCAGGTTTATCTGACTCCAAAATCTGTATGCTTAACAATTCGTTGATATTCCCATCCAGCATCTTCCCTTAGAAGACAGTCCTATTTAAGACCACTGACAGTTGGTATGCAACTTTATTTAGTAAATGATTTTCATGTATATTGTTTCCTCTGTTGGTTTTACTGGTATAAAGTGTTGGGATAATTAAATTTGTAGAGGGTAAAAATATTCATTGGCATATTAGTATTTATCATTTAAAAAAGATGATATCTGAGACAGGTTATCAAAGATCCCTGTACATGCAGACTCTTACCACCACTTAAGACCAGCGAACTTCAGATGTTTTCACAGTTCTGCAGAATGGTTTATACTGTGGTCGAATCACAAAAACCTTTTTAATCTCTGTTGGCAAACAAAGGAATATTATTAGACACCTGTGGTGAGAACCACACAGAAATGTCAGTACATTTTTCTATTATTTTCCAGGCTTGCCCTATTTGCAAATTTAAGTATCAGCACCCAGAAATTTAAGCCATCATCTTATGTAGGGAATACTAGGTATTCACAGTTTCTTTATCCTATGCTCCCATATTTCCATGTTTGAGCCTTTTTTTTTTTTTCAGACTGCCTAGTCAATATACCAGTATACTAGCTCTTTAATATTCACTATTTATTTTTGACCCCAACTTCCATTTTGCCGTATTTTTGCCTCCATGGTGAGACGTAAGTATATCCCTCACACTGCTGTGTATGGATCCTGTTTTCTGCGTTGGTCCCGTGCTCATCTTTGCCTGCTGTTAACACTCGTGTTAGATTTATAACCACACTTCAAAACCATATAGAACCTTCCTGCTAATTGTGCCCAACTTCCTCTTATTTTCAATCCCCATTTTTCATTTACCTCAGTTTCTTAATCTTTTTGTTTTTATCCATTTTATGAATTTCCATAAGCCCTCTCAAGTTTTAGAATGACTGCTAGACCTGGCCCTGGAAGAATATGATTGGATAGTGATTAAATGTACCCATTTCCACTTCTCCCAATGGGAAAACAAGCTTAATTTGTATCCATTCCTAAGAAGTAGAAATGGATTGTATCTCCCTGAAATATCTTCTATTTTTAAATAAGCTATTGGTCTTTATCTTTATTAATGCTAGGTAGGTGTATCTTTTCCTAAGAAGTGCTTATTGGAGTTTGTATTTTAACTTCTTTGGGTTCGTAAAAGGAAAATTGAAGCATCAGCTAAGTTACTTTTTCTTTGTAGCGTGGAGACGATCAATGACGGAAACTTTCACATTGTGGAGCTACTTGCCCTGGATCAGAGTCTCTCCCTCTCCGTGGATGGAGGGAGCCCCAAAATCATCACCAACTTGTCAAAGCAGTCCACTCTGAATTTTGACTCTCCCCTCTATGTAGGAGGTAAGCTCTGTTCCAAATCCAGTAAGTCCCCAAAACCCTGTGATTCTCATCCTAGACTAATTCTGAAATTGTTGATCCCTGGTGTCATGGCTGTTGACCCACAGTGATCAATCACTGAAAGATGGACAGCAAGGATAGAAAAGAAAGAGCCCTGGATGTGTGTTAAGAAACCTGTTTTGTGTCTGTCTCAACCTATTAATAACCAATGTCATGGTTGGACAGGTTCTTGTGGTTCTTATGATGATTGCAAAGTACCCATCAGCAACAAGCATCAGGAAACTTTGAAGAAAGATTAGAGGTTTATTACTTACAAGACCCGAAAATTACACAGCACAGCTGTGGCACACAGCGAGGTCTTAAGGAAAAAGAGAGCAAGTGAGAGAGCGCATGTGTGAGAGCAGGAACACATAGGCCTGGAGTGCTGCTTTTACTGTGTCATGCTAGAAAGAAAAAGAAAAAAGTTCTGTCAGATCTTATCATTCTAGATTGTCTGTGCTACCAGTTGCCAACTCACAGATGGTAGGAATAATTATTAACAAAATCGAATGATGAATGAATGAATGAACAATTGAATTAAATATTCAGCTTGTATTGGGGGTAACAGGAAGTACTTCTGGTTAGCTAAGACGTTAAGGTGAGTGAACAAGACAGAGGGTTGGGAAGGTGGACTAGGGGTTGGAATGATAGAGTGAAGATTCTGGACTTTATTTGTAACCAACCAGAAGGCAGTTGAGGAACAGGTGAAGAACAGAGATGTGGGCAATGTTCTGAAGGAGCCCAGAGGAGAGGACCCACAATGGAGAGAGCTTTCCTCTATTGGGGGAAAGGAGGGAAAATGTAAACTGGAGATCCGGAATTTCAGTTTTCAGGCAAAGGAGCAAGAAAGCATATGATGTTGAACTGAGTAGCATTGAATTAAATCACATTGGATTGAGGTGAATTGAGTGATAAAATTAACTCATTTTACAGAGAAGTAAGCTGAGGTTTCTGCGCAGGTCAGTGTAACTGATTTGCTCAGCAGGACAGGCATCTTCACAATGTTTGCATTAATTTTCTGCAAAATAGTAATCCTTGGATTCTACATATTTATGTTATCCCTTCAGAGACTTCCTTGAAAGTATTCTTGGAATTATCCTGAAAGTCCAGAGCACTTCTGTATTTTTGTAATTTTCAGCATTTGAAGATCTTAACACTTTGAAAGAATTTTGGATTTTTAGAGACCATTAAAAATCTTGGTTCAGTTCCATAAATATTTATTTAGTACCTACCATGTGCTGGAAACGAAGTTAACGTAGGTATAAAGGTTACAACGTTGAAAAAGAAATATCCCTTCTTTGCCCAGGGGAGTGGGAAAAGCCGACATGTCTTCAAGGAACCATAGTGCGTTGGAATAAAAGTATTGCATACTAAGTCTGCTCAGCAAGTTGACTGATCTCACTGCTTCATGGGAATCACAACTAGGAGATGCATTTAAAAACAGCAGCCTCCATTTCTTGCCTGCACTACTGTTAACAGCCATTACATTGGGATGGGTAAAGCAAGTCACACATAGATATACCTGTGGTTTGAAAGAAAAGAAATTACACTCACTGAACACATTTGATGTGTCCAACACAATGCTTCTTTACAGTCTTAATCCTCAGAGACTTTAGGCACCAGGTATGATTTTTTTGTTTCATGATCCCGAAGGGACAGCCGCAAGGACTTTACAAAACGTGTCCAAGTTCACAGAGCCATGAAGTAATAGAGACCTCATTTGAGTCCAGGTCTGGTCTGTCTGACCCCAAAGCCATCTATCTGCATTGCCACTCACTTTTTAACATAGAGCAGAAAGGGAAGCAATCTAGGTTTTGTGGCTTTTTGTTTATTTCTGGACTTGTCCTTCACTTGATTTATTGTGCTTTCATCAGAAACAATTTCACTGAATCTTTTAAAACTCCTTTACGATGAAGTGAGGGGGGGTGGGGGGACCCTACAAAATGGGAGTGCTTAGGTCAGAACATTTCTCAAAAAAGGAAAAAGAAAAAGCTTTACATTCCAAACTGAAAAGTGCCAATCTTTCTTAGGATAGAGGGTCTGGAAGAATCCAGATAGTACCTCTGTCCATCCAGGCCTGAAGGAAGCATCACTGGCAGAGAACATAGTGGGCCCATTTCCTTCCAAATCAGAGTGCAGGGTAATTCAAATTAAAAAAAAATACAATGTAATCATAAGATCCCAGCCCTGAATTCGAGGTGGCAAAGGCAGAAGAACCTGACTTAGCAAAGGAGAGGGACCTCGGTAATAACTAAGCTCATCTTTTTCTCCAAATTTGAAAACGCGCATGTCTGAAAAAAAGACCATCCCGGTGTGGACTTAAAGTCCACACATTTATGATGAATGGATATGATAGAGTTAGAAGAACTTATCCCAGAACAAAGAATTTTCTTTTACTTGGGCTTTCCTGGAAATGGTACATTTCAGATTTTTTGAGCCCGCTCTAGAAAGCAACTCTGTTCCCAAGGCCAGACGGACATGGACTAAAAGTCTGAGGTCATGGAAGTTCAAAGCCAAGTTCAAAGCCAAGACCCCTAATTCGGTACCTGTCGAAGCGTGACCCGGGAGCACTTGCATCAAAATCAACCAAGCTGCGTGTTAACATTTAGATTCCTGCACCCTACCCCTTTCCTACCAGTTAGACTCCTAAGGCAGGAAGAGAATTTGGCCTGGAAAGCCGCCTTCTGAACATGGACCTTTGGTGGATCTCAGAAACAATTGTTCTGGTCCACCCACTCAAGCTATGGATGAGAAGACTAAGCCCCACAATGGTTGGAAATAACTGGCTCATGCCTACACAGACCAACAATAAAGACATTGACCTTGAGCCTACCTGGCGGTTTTGTACATCTACCTGTCTGATGTTGGTGCTGCTAGAACCCAAACACGGCTCCTTTGAACAGAGAAGGTGATACAGCCACAGGGAGGCCCCAGCATTGCTGAGGGTCCCGGTCTTTGGAATCAACCAGCCAACCCTCTGGAGAGTGAGGACAGAGTCTTCCCCAGCCTGTACCCTCCAGCCAGTAGCTCAGAGCCCAGGCAGAGCGAGGGGGTGAGCTCCAGGGGGGATCATCAGCCACCCTGAAGGCCTCTGGCTCCCTCCCCTTACCCCACTGCAGTCTGGATGTTTGTCTCGGGTAGGATCCCATCCAGGAACTATTTCAGGGTCTGGCTTAGGCCATGGAAAGATTCCTCAGTTTTGCCAAATGAAGGTTACCAGATGACTGTCACCAGTGGAACTTATATATGCAAAGACTGCAAATTCTGTTTTTGGAGGAATTTCTTTTGTATTCCTGATTTCTTGGCATATGAACGTTTCACTCTCAATTAGCAAGAAAATGAAAACGACGTGAATGAGGTGCTGCCATGATAGGAAGCATGGGTGAGCTTCTCAGACGCCGACCAGCACTGCTGGGCTCAGGATGTTGCCGGTGGTGAGCCGGATTGGTTGCCAGCTTAGAATTTGGCAGGGCTGGGGTGAAAGGTCACTGTGAACCCAGATCTCACCCCCTCAGACTGGATGGACGGAACCATGACCCTAGAGATTGCGAGGCTCCCTTATCCACTGATCTGCAGCCCGGTCTTACTGGGTGACACTGAGCATGTCGCCCCAGGTATCACTGTGCTTTCCGGAGCTCAGCTTCCAGGGCGTGTGTCCAGGCTGAAGAGGTGGCTGGAGAGAGCGCGGAGCCCAGATCTCTCCTCAATTCCTGATCTTGCCTCTAGCTACAACAGGTCTGCTTTGAGGTTTTATACACTGATGCCTCCATGTAAGATTTTATTTGAAACAAATGTGAAAAATTAAGAGACTGGCCGCCAATGAACTTAGTTCTTTATTCTAGCTGTGCATTAGCATGGCCTGGAGCATCTTCCAAAAATCAAATGCAAACAAAGAACCAGCTGTCTCTTCTCCCTTCCCCCACGCTGCCCAGATGAAGTAGGTCTGGGCAGAGGTTCCAAGCTTCAGTATTTCTCTGAAGATCTCAGGTGATTCTAACGTGTAGCCAGGTGGAGGGAGAACCACAGGCCTGGAGGCTGATGATCTCTGGTTGTCCTAAAGGAGTGTCACCCTGACTGCCGCCTTGCTGGCAGAGCTCAAAGGGTCTGGGGGGGTGGCGGGCAAATTCCTGAGGATCCCCCCGGCAAAGAGCCGAACCACTGACCCGGTGTCCCTCTGCAGGTATGCCAGGCAAGAACAACGTGGCCGCGGCCCTGCGCCAAGCCCCCGGGCAGAACGGCACCAGCTTCCACGGCTGCCTCCGCAATCTTTACATCAACAGCGAGCTGCAGGACTTCCGCAAGGTGCCCATGCAGACCGGCATTCTGCCCGGCTGTGAGCCGTGCCACAAGAACGTGTGCACCCACGGCACGTGCCGACCCAGCAGCCAGTCGGGCTTCACCTGTGAATGTGAGGAAGGCTGGACTGGGCCCCTCTGTGACCAGAGGACCAATGACCCCTGTCTTGGAAATAAGTGAGTTCGAGCTGCACACAAACACATATACGCCAGCCCTCAAAGCAAAAGCCAGGAAGGGAGGGAAAGAGGGACAGAGGAAGAAGGGAAGGAGACGAGGGGGAGGGGAGAGAGAGAGAAGAGAAGGAAGTCAGCCCCTTGGCCCATCTCCTCCCTACTCCTTCCATCCCCTTCCTCCATTCTTACCCCCTCTGCCTAATGCGCGTGCATTCTTGCCTTCCTCCTCCACCGTAGATGTGTGCACGGCACCTGCTTGCCCATCAATGCATTCTCCTACAGCTGTAAGTGTCTGCAGGGCCACGGCGGTGTCCTCTGTGATGAGGAGGAGGATCTGTTTAACCCCTGCCAGGCGATCAAGTGCAAGCATGGGAACTGCAGGCTCTCGGGACTGGGGCAGCCCTACTGCGAATGCAGCAGTGGATACACTGGAGACAGCTGTGACCGAGGTAAGCCGACCCGCCTGGGTACCACCCTTTGAAGCAAGAGCACCCCCCCCCGCCATCTTTGAAAAGAGAGAGAAAGGGAGACAGACACACACACAGAGGAGTGATATGAGGAAACCGGGTCTAGGCATGGCCTATAGTTGCTGCTGTTGATTGATTTCCCAGCGGCATGAAGGCACCAGATGTGAAGTGTCCTCAACCTCCACGGCTGGAATTGACACGGCCTTCAGTGACGTGCCGTGAAAAATCCTCCTTTTTACCTTTTGGTGCAGCACATTTACTTCCCTGCCTTCTTACCTTTACCTGCCATCCTCATCCATTTATATAATTAATTAGTCTCTGGCACAGAGAAGAGGCAGCTCATAATTCTGCTCTAGGTTTAAGACAAAGTCACCTTTGACCTTACAGTCAACTGATTTATCACAGCTCGGCATGCAGGTGAGAGGGATGGAAACGTGCCGACTTGCTGGCCCACCTTCCTCCTTCTCCCCTGTCTGCGTGACCAGAAGGCGCCTCGCCCCCAGCGGGCAGGCCTTGCGGTGGGCGTATCGGAGGGACGAGACCAGAGCAACGTGCCCATGGAAGCTTTGAGCACATGTCTCTTTTTGAACTGGTTCATACCAGGGTAATTTATGAAGTTAGTGGAATGTTACTTGTATTAAGTAACAGATTGAATGATATTAAACCCCAGGTCTAATAAATTAAATTGCATACTCTCTGAAATGGCTCCTTGTGGTAAACGAAACCAGCTGTTAGTAGTGTAAAAACAGAAGACGCGCATTTCTGCAATAAAGGAAAAGAGTTAGGAATCCAATTTTCTTGTCAGTCCAACAGCATAGTATTTACAGTCCACATCTATAGTATTCACTTTGCAGAAAATAAAGGCCACCCCAACAACAACAACAAAAAGTATCTTTCAAGGAACAGCAAGCTGGGCCATCCGCCCATTATATGGAGTATAAGCAGGCCTGTGACAATCACACTTACCCATGGCAGACAAAGACAGCACCTCCTGAACTGGCTTGTGGATCCATGGCCCCTTTGTTGGGTACTCATAGCGACTGCCCTGAAAATGCTTGTGCTTCTTGTTCTTTTCTAGAAATCTCTTGTCGAGGGGAGCGGATACGAGATTATTACCAAAAGCAGCAGGGCTATGCCGCTTGCCAGACGACCAAGAAGGTGTCCCGGTTGGAATGCAGAGGTGGGTGTGCGGGAGGGCAGTGCTGCGGACCTCTGAGGAGCAAGCGGCGGAAATACTCTTTCGAATGCACTGATGGGTCTTCATTTGTGGATGAGGTCGAGAAGGTGGTGAAGTGTGGTTGTTCCAGGTGCGCCTCTTAATCGCGCCCCTGGCCCCTTGTGTCTTTGGGGAATGTTGTCTACTTCTCGACCGCGGTGGACTCATTAATGCTTCATAGTGGAAATATTTGAAATATATTGTAAAATACAGAACAGACTTATTTTTATTATGAGAATAAAGACTTTTTTTTTTTTTCTGCATTCGGGGAAAAAAAAAAATGCTTGAACTAACGCTTCCCCGGTGAGAGAGAAGTAGGAAGAGAGAGAGAACCCGGAGGCCTCGGCCCACGGGTGGGAAGCGTTGCGACTCAAATTCATCTTTGCAACATGCTGAAGACGAGCAGAAGCACAGAGACGAGGGAGAGCCGAGCTTCTGTGTGCTGCGTAACATCAGCACCCAGACCGTAAAGCCCCTGTGGCCTCGTGCCCATCTCTGTGGCTCATGAGGACACACCGAGCACCTGTGTGGGGTTGAGGATGGTTGAGGATGCAAGGCGGAGGAGTGGAACTCGAGAATTCACCGAACACGCGGTTGAGAAATATTCGGTGCAATACAGTGTCCTTGAAGACCTGGGTTCTGTTCATGAGAGGGATGGGAGAGCTAACGTAACAGGTGTATCTTCTTTTTAAACGTCAGCATGTTAGCCGAAGCAGCACACAAAAGTGTTTATCTACCGTTTTCCAGTATTAATTTTTTTGTAATATAAATGATAAAGGAGATGATAAAGAACCAATAGATTATTGATAAATAAATTAGTAATAATATGAATTTTTGTTTCTATGAGTTCAAAACAGCCCTATACAGTATGCAGTTCCGATGAGAAATATTTATTGTATCAAAGGACATTGTACTTAACATGGTAGGCCATTCTTTTACTGTTTCTCAATGCTTTAATATATATTAATTTATGATTGTCCTGATATTTTTGTATATTTTTCAAACTTAAAAATCAGGATTGGGGTGGGGGGGGTTGGCCATAGTACTAACATAGGCTGTTATATTGGGATAAATATGTGTTGATCGGTTTGTTTACCCTGACATCTGACCACTGGTGTCACCGACCTACTGGCCTCATTCAGGACACCTGCAGAGAGTATGTAAAGTCTATGCGTGAGACGGTCTTTGTACAGAAAGAAGGGGCCAGACCCTCTGCAGCATGTCCTCCCAGAACAGAAACGGTGTGTAGCAATCGACACTAGAAAAGTAGATATTTTACAAATTAATATTTCCTTGACATTTGTTGCCCTTTTATCAGGGGTGGGGGGCAGAGAGAAAAGGCTGTAATGTCAAGAACTGTGATTTTTTTTTTCCAAACAATAAAGCTCCTTTATTACCTTAATGTTCCCATGTTAACATGTTTGCTGCTAAATTACAATGTAGAATTGATAATGATTTATAGTGGACTGTGCTCTTCCCTTATGAAAATCCCAGGGTACCCTGTGAAGATGCAGATGTTCCTTTCCAAAAACTTTTTTTACGCAGAAAATTAGATGTACATGTATAATTCAGTGTGCTTTGTCTTTCTCCAGACTAATATCAGTTATACTACTGATGTTTGTAAATTAAACAGATATTTACTTCACTAACAGCTTGGTGATTTTCTTAGAAATTACAAAATATTTAGAGTCCCTCCTTAAGAATCTCTTCATCAAAGTGATACAGAATGGACAGGGAAGAAAACTCGCATCGTGTTGTTGACAGAAATTGTTTTACGATTAGCATATTGTCGCATCAGGGGACTTTGGAATGGCCATATGAAAGAGGTGGATAGAACACATCCTTTGCCATGAAGAAAGTACATATCCAACTAATTTCTTCCAAAAAAATTATAAGGTGAAGTCTAACTAAACTACAAACGGTATTTTTGTTTTTGTTCTTCTTTCCCCTCAGTTAGAACCAGATGGAAAACAATGAAAGACAAAGAGTGCCTTTCTCCACAAGCACTGGAGGCAAAGCTTAGAACAGGGAAAGAGCATGGGTTATGTGGAATATTATTACTTAAGCACCATGCCGGAATGTCTTCATTTTCCTGTAAGAAAATCCTGCACATGCGCACACATATGCACACATGCACACACGGACACAGATGTCCGTTTATTCATTTTTGCTTAAAATGTCTATATTTTCATTGTATAAATATTATATGGTCTTGGTAAAACATTTATTTATTCCCACTGTTTCATTTTTTTCAAGGACTGGGAATCACTCGTTAAGCAAAGAAACATCTGCAAAGATAACAGGTGTTAGATCTGTGTTTATAGGTATGTGTTATCTCAAGAGCCACTATTTTTGAGGGCTTATTATATTCCAGGCACTATGACAAGGGCTTTATATGAAATATCTCACTCTTCTCTCACTATACACCTATGGGATTGTTGAGCTCCCATTTTGACACAGGCATAAAGAGCTCAAAGACAGAAGAGCTGAATTCACCCGGGCCTCTCAGACCACAGGGTCCCATGTTCAGGGGATAGAGGGGGCATCCTCTACCATGGGACTTTTAAACCCTGGAACCTTATTTCCACAGCACAGTTATTCTCCCTACCGATCATGTCATTTGAAGTGGTCGAGATTAGAGATGTTTGCTTTTTTGTTTTTGTTTTTTGAGGGAAAAAAAGTGAAGTCTTAGTAGCTTCCTGACTGTATCCTTTCTCCTTCCTGCTTCTAAAGGCACAAAATAGAATTATGATTACCTGGGATTTGGGCTGAGTTAGCAAGTTTCTTAGGGGATCGTTTACCTCGTGATGAGACCGCATTCTGTATAGGAGCCCTTCTTTGAGAAAATCCAATAACCAAATAATTGCTAGCAAATGAGACAAATTAAGGGCACTTATGTATGTTATAAAAAGCTCCTCACTTATAAAGCTTTGACCATAGGATTCCTTTAAATAAGAAACTAATCTAGAGCATTTCCAACAGAATTCAATAGGTTAAAACAAAAAACATTTTGCCCATTTTGGAATCAAAGCTATTACACACAGCAATGGATGTTTGTAATCTGAAAAGATAAAGTGATTAAACATCCCTAATGTGTTTACTTTAAATTCTCACATGAGTTGAGGCACCATCAGGGGATTTGACGTGTGTTCATTGAATAATAAGTATCTCAATCTTTGGAATTTGTCCTCACCCTACCTTTCCTGAAATTATTTCTAAGCAATGATACACTAACCTCAGTTTTAGAATTGCTCTGAGCATTCTGGTTTTTTGGGGGTTTTTTGGATGGTTTGCTTTGTCAGCAGCAGCTCCTTCTAGAGAAATGATTGAAAGAAAGACTGTTGAAATTGATTCAGGTCTTACAGATCTTGAGCATTATGGAGTCCTCTACTCCATAGAGTGACCATTATATTAAAACTAATGTTTGTTAAAGGATATAAGCTATAAAAATATGTGAAGCTTCATATGAAGCTTTTTATAAAGCCAATAAAACTATATAAAATACATAAGCTATATTCATTCTTAATCCCCTCTATATACTCAAAAGTCATTTGACAACACATTTTTATTTCTTTATCTCCTATCCTATGCAAGAAACTATGCTAAACTTTCAATATATAGTTCAGACAAACCAGGCATCACTTCTGCCATCTTAGAGCTCACGGCTCTGTGCACTTGGAGTTGAGGCTAAAGTGAGTAATAAATATTATACAAAGGACCAAACTACATATAATTTCAGATTGTGGTTAAGTGCCCTGATGGAAATTATGAGATACTAAAAAAAGCAGAGCAGAGGAATCCAGTTAAATACATATTGGGAGGTCAATGAATGACTCTGTGAGGAAGTGATGAAGAATAAAGTAGGATCCAGAATAGAGACTGATGGAAATATGTGAGGGTGTCAAAGCTGGAGGTCAATACAGAGACAGCAACCTGTGTCTCAGCCTGAGGAGGGAAGGAACTCCTTTGTGATTAAGGAAACAAAAGAAGTTCGTGTGGCCAGAGCGAGGCATAGATTTCTCTTCTGTGTATAATACAACACAGGCCGTTTTCTGTCTTCATTAACTCACCTTTAATAGTCTATATTTTTCTTTTGATAATCTGTTTGCAGTGATCTTTCAAAATCACAACAAAAATGGATTTCCATTTTAAAACACCAAGTAGTTAGTTTTGTTTAATGTGGTTCCTCAACCTCCAAATGAAATAGCTCTGAAGACACAGAGAATATGAATACTTAAAATAGCACTGAAAATTAAGGATAATATTTCTGGAATCTCCAAGGAATTTTCATGAATTCAAAAGTGCCTGAGGCTAGATTGAAAGAAACAACTGCTGGCCAACCCATGCTTGGAGACTCGTGTGCATTCCTTTCTCTGTACACCAAGACCAGAGACTCAGCAAATGAGTCAACTGGAAAATCATCAAAAAATATTCATGCATTTAGGTGTCACTTTGTGAGTTTGCCAGAGGTCTGTGCCTCCAACCAAGGAGGTAAAATCTTCCTTCAACTATTAGGATGTTCCACTTCCTGTCAAGGAAACCAAAACAGTGCAAGAAATACTAGAAGACAAGTTGTGTTGTACCGAATACTGAGAGATGTAGTCTCTGTAAATAAATTATTGTAGATGTGCACTGAGCCTGGAAGAGCCACAGTAGTAATGCTTGCTTAGAATGGTATGGAGGGGCGCCTGGGTGGGACAGTCAGTTAAGCATCCAACTCTTGGTTTCGGCTCAGGTCGTGATCTCGGGGTCATGAGATTGAGACCCATGTAGGGCTCTACACTCAGCATGGAGCCCACTTGAGATGCTCTCTCCTTCATGCTCATGCTCTCTCTCTCTCTCTCTAAAATAAATAAATCTTAAAAAAGAAAAAAGAAAAAAAAAGAATGGTATGGAAAGAGGGAAGTACCTTACCGATTCAGAAGACCAGAGAAAAGTTGCATTATACTGACCCACTATTAAGCTAATAAAATGGTGAAAATTTACAGGCCATATTTGGGGATGAGGTCTACGAAGTTCAGAAAACTTTAATGGGCAATGGAAGTCTGTGAAGATTATCTCAGTAGGAGAATTGTTCACACATGTGTTATAGGAATTTTAGTTGATAGCATGATATAAAGTGAATTGTTCAGGTGGCTATTTCTTAAGTCTGAAAAGAAGATAAGAGCTGAGAATAAGAAAGGAAAGAAAAAAAATCGCAAATGAATCAGAAAAGACAGAAGAGACTGCACTGTTACGGTGGAAGAATTAATAATTCACGATGACGTTGGACATGTTTGGCAAGGAAGAAGGGGAAGTCTCGTATACCTCCTTGTTTTGAGCTTCTCTATTTCTGCTGTTTCTAAAGCACAAGAATTGAAATCTGGGTGTATTTGTAGCAGAGTTTGGGTGCCTGCATGAGGCTAGAAACAGACGAGTGGCTGCTTGGGAAGCCCCAGCTTTCCACCCTCAACCCATTCTCCTGTCTGCTGAATGAAACCAATACATTCCTCCAGATGGTGTCTTTAATGTCTTTAAAGATCTTAGATACGTTCAATCAACTCCATCTATAGGATAAAATCCAAACTCTTCACTACGGTGTTCCAGATTCCCCACGAAGGGATATTTTCAAGCCTACAATATATGCTGTGAAATGGACAAAATGGTAGGAAAGGATATTTTAAAGTATTTACTTTATTTTTAAGATTTTATTTATTTGACAGAGCACAAGCAGGGGGAGCAGCAGAGGGAGAGGGAGAAGCAGGCTTCCCGCTGGGCTTGAACAGGGAGCCCAACCCGGGGCTCGATCTGAGGACCCTGAGATCATGACCTGAGCCAAAGGCAGACGCTTAACTCACTGAGCCACCCAGGCGCCCCAGGAAAGGATATTTTAAAACAAATGGTGGACTGAGATGTCTAAAACCATAGATGTAGGATTTATCCACACGGAAGTGGTCATTGAAGCCCAGACAATAGATAAGTGGATTTAGACCCAATAGAATGGACTTGACCGCAGGAATAAGATGCATCTTTCGACAATGCTGACGTCTCTAGGACACCTTGGTCACAGAATGGAGATGAAGAAAGAGCAGTTTTGTTTTGTTTTGTTTTTTAATTCATGAGAGACAGAGCGAGAGAGAAAGGCAGAGGGAGAAGCAGCCTCCCAAAGAGCAGGGAGCCCGATACGGGACTCGATCCCAGGACCCTGAGATCAGGACCTGAGCCGAAGGCAGACGCTTAACCATCTGAGTCACCCAGGCGCCCAAAGAAAGAGCAGTTTTAATAACGGAGTGATAAGGTAATAGCTGGATAGCCAGGGGTTAGGAATGGAATTTATGAGCTAATACGATGCCCTCTCACTAAGTCTGATAGCAAAAGAAGAGGAGAATCAGGATAGCAACTGGAAGAGTTGCTGAGGTCCCAAGGTTTGCATTCAATGGGTCAGTAAGTGTCAGTTTATCCCCTGTAGTCATGGCTTGTGAAGGGGTGGGGCAACCACTGCAGACATGTCCTGGAGGGACTACTGAGGCCCGAGATGGAAGAGCAAACTAGGTCATCAATTACATGAGCTGGTTAAACAGTGGGAGGTAAAAAGTGGGGCCCAGCTACAGGAGGTTGAGGAAGCAGGATGCCCAAGAGCAAGAAACCACAAAATCATCCAGAACGAAGA